GGAGACTCTAGGAAGAGTGCAGAGAAGAGCAACAAAGATGATTAGGGGACTGGAGGCTAAAACATATAAAGAATGGTTGCTGGAATTGGGTTTGTCTAGTTTAATGAAGTGGAGGACTAGGGGAGACATGATAGCAGTCTTCCAATATCTCATGGGCTGCCCCAAAGAAGAGGGAGTCAAGCTATTCTCCAAGCCACTTGAAGGCAAGACAAGAAGCAGCGGATGGAAACTAATCAAGGAGAGAAGCAACCTAGAACTGAGGAGAAATTTCCTGACAGTGAGAACAATTAATCAGTGGAACAACTTGCCTCCAGAAGTTGTAAATGCTCCAACACTGGAAGTTTTTAAGATGTTGGATAACCGTTTGTCTGAAGTGGTGTAGGGTTTCCTACTTGGACGGGTGGGGTGGGGTGGGGTTTGGACTAGATGACCTACAAGCTCCTTTCCAACTCTGTTAATCTGAATCTATCTCAGATGATCAAAGGTCTGGAGACTAAAACATGAAGAATGGTTGCAGGAACTGGGCATGGCTGGTCTAGTGAAGAGAAGGACCAGGGGAGACATGATAGCAGTCTTCCAATATTTGAGGGGCTGCCACAGAGAGGAGGAAGGGGGTCAAGCTATTCTCCAAGGCACCCGAAGGCCAGACAAGGAATAATGGATGGAAACTGATCAAGGAGAGATTCAACCTGGAAATAAGGAGGAATTTTCTGACAGTGAGACCAATCAACCAACGGAAGAGAAGTTGCCTTCGGAAGTTGTGGGAGCTTCATCACTGAAGGCATTCAAGAAGAGACTGGACTGCCATCTGTCAGAAATGGTGTAAGGTCTCCTGCTCGGATTGGCGGTGGAGGGAGGTGGTGTTTGGACTAGATGACCTACAAACTCCCTTCTAATTCTGTTAATCTGAATCTATCTCAGATGATCGAAGGTCTGGAGACTAAAACATGAAGAACGGTTGCAGGGACTGGGCATGGCTAGTCTAGTGAAGAGAAGGACTGAGAAGGAAATGAGTGTTGTGGTCTGCCAGCGGCCTGCGGAGCTGGCAGCAGAGTTAGACAGTGAGGAGGCTGGGAAGGAACATGGTGTAGGGCAGTGATGGCTAACCTTTTTGCCGTCATGTGCCAAAAGTGGGGGGAGCGCAGGGGAGGTCACACACATGTGTCCAAACCCATAATTCAGTGCGCCCCACCCCCCGCACATGCGCGCATGAGCCCCCCGTGCTCCCCCCTCTTTTTGCACGCAATGGCATGGTGGGCCCGGTAGGCCCATTTTTCGACCTCCCCAGGCTCCAGAGGCTTTTTTGGAGCCTGGGAAGAGCAAAAAAAACCTCCCCCCCCCTGGAAGCCAGAAACAGCCTATTTCCCGACTTCTGGTGGGACTGAATAGGCTCATTTTTCACCCTCCCCAGGCTCAAGAGGCTTTCTAGGAGCCTGGGGAGGTGAAAACAGCCTTCCCCATCTCCTGGAGGCCAGAAATAGCCCGTTTCCTGACTTCCGGTGGGCCTGGAAGGCCTGAAAATTAGCTGGCCGGTGCGTGCATGCACGCTGGAGCTGAGCTAGGGCAACGCTCGTGTGCCCACAGATATGGCTCCACGTGCCACCTGTGGCACGCGTGCCATAGGTGCGCCATCACGGGTGTAGGGGCTCCTGCTTGGGTGGGGGGTTGGACTAGATGTCCTACAAGACCCCTTCCAACTCTGTTCATCTACATCTGTATCATAAACCCATGGTGCTTCCTTAACAGTCATGGTCAGCCATTTGATCCCCGGGTAGCTACAGTAAATCCAAGAAAGAGCATTGTTAAAAAACACACACGCACACCAGGGATAGCACGGCATTCACGAAAGGAAAACTTGTGTGGACCAGAAACAGTCAGAAGGACTATCAGTGACTGTTCTCCTGGCTCCATAAATTTGAGAAGGGAACTCGTGATGTGAAAGGAAGGCTCAGAAGCACCAACATCAAAAGGGATGCAAGTCCAGAGAAGCTGGAAAGGGGCAGATAAACTGGTTGGGTTCAGCCTTCAGCTCCAACTATCTCGAGAAAACTGGTCCTGTTTTCTTCCTTTGACTTCACAAACCCCCTTGCGGGAGATTGGCTGGAAATTAACATGCTGCCTGCTGAACAAACAATCCTTGTGTGTTGTGTTCTGAGCAGAAGGTTTGACTGGCAGATCAGCCCCTAAGGAAAGGAACCGAAATCTTATGCCTTACAAGGCAGATCTGGGATTTGCCCCAAGTCCAAGGAGGATGGAAGGAAACATGACTCTCTGTGTGCACCACAGATGGACATGAAAGATCTATCTTCCCGCTGTAAGACAGCCAAGGGGTGTGGGCAGCCTCAGTGTTGGGACTACAAAGTCTGTTTTATAACAATTCCTTATATGGGGGGGATGGCACGCAGCGGATGTGTCTCCAGTGACGCAGTGACTGTGGCTGGCTTTGATGTGAGACACTTCACTGGGGTATTTAGGATTTATTAGATTTCTATACCGCCCTTCTCCCGAAGGACTCAGGGCGGTGTACAGCCATATTAAAACACATATAAATATACAAAATTTAAAACAATTTAAAATTGAATATATAAAAATTTGGCCCATAGATTAAAACACGCATACACCCATTCTAAAATTTGTATTAGGCCAGGCCAGCTTGTTGGAACAAGAGGCGCGGCAAAAGGTACGCAGGTCAGGGATGAGACGAATCTCAAGGGACAGCTCATTCCAGAGGGCTGGTGCCCCCACAGAGAAGGCTCTCCCCCTGGGTGTCGCCAGTTGGCATTGTCTGGCCGACGGCATCCTGAAGAGCCCCTCTCTGTGGGAGCGTATTGGCCGGTGGGAGGCTGTTGCTGGCAGCAGGCAGTCTCGTATATACCCTGGTCCTAAGCCATGGAGCACTTTAAAGGTGGTGACCACCACCTTTAAACCACCTGGGTGAAGATGGAGGCCATTTAATAATAGTAATAATAACTTTATTGTCGTTGTACATGTATACACAGTATACCCATACAACGAAATTCACTTAACACCCAAAGACCAGGTCCAACACACATAACAATCCCCATGTCGAGCATTAATCAACCCTCGACACCTCGATGCCCTGACGGAAGGCCATCATGTCACACACCAAATGGACGAGGCGGGAGGGGGGCTGATGGGCACAGGTGACGGTGACGGGGATAGGATAAGTACGGGTAGACTATGAACTCATTGGCGGTGGGAATAGAAGGACTCGTGTTGGGTGTCGGGTAGCGAATCTTGGAGGCAGAGCAGACACCTCTGATTAATGTGCGGCGGCCCGGTGATGTCCCTATCACGCGACCACGCTGACTGCATCGGCGGCAGATTTGAAGCAAACGCCCACCAGCTGGAACGGCTGAGGAGAACGCACTCCCGGCAATTAGAGCAGAGTGGAATTATAAAGAGGCGCTGAGTGGCGGACGCCCTCAGTGCCGACTTTATGCGTCTTATCGATCTGGCGTCGACCAGAAGCTGTCGTGTAGCATGAAAATAAACCGGGTTTGCTTGCTTCACTGAGTGTCAGCTATCTGTATTTCCCAGGAGTCTGCATCGGTAGCCTACCGGAGCCGAGACCCCAAACATACTCCCACCCACCCACAAATTCCCCACCTCTAAACCACCCAAACATCCACACAACAGACCAAGTCATGCTGTCCAACAGCTCACTGATGGTGGCCCTTTAGTTCATTGTTGAGTGAAATTATAGCTCTGGGATAAAAACTATTCAGAAAATGTGTGGTCTGAGTTTTAATTGTTCTATATATTCCGCCAGAAGGCAACAATCCAAAAAGGATTGTAAGCAGGATGGGAAGAGTCTCTGAGACTCTGAGAATGTTGTGCAACTTCCTCAAACAGCGAGATTCGAAGATGTCGTCCAGGGCTGGTAGCTGGAGTCCGATGATATTCTGGGCAGTTTTAATGATTCCCTGTAGAGCTTTTTGCAGAGCTGCTCCCATACCATGCAAGAATGCCGTATGTCAGGACACTCTCAATGGTGCTGCGATAGTAGGACAGAAGTAGATGCTGAGATAGATTTATTTCCACACACCTTCACGCACTTTAGTAACTGTAGATCCTTGCTTACATGGAAGGGACCTAGTTGTTGAACTAGCCAGCAATCACTTCTATAGGAGGTTCGTCTACTCACACTGTTGAGAAGGCAACCTTGGATATCAACCTCAAACTCCATGTTTGTAGGCCACCTTTAGGGTCAGGATTGGGACCCAAGCAGGGGTAGGATTCAGCCGGCTCAGACCTGTTCGGGCAAACCAGATTTTATCATCTGGTTCCCCTAATTTTACAGCCGGTAATTTTACATCCGGTTCATCAAACCGGTAGTTGCAAGGATTGGCTGACCCCGCCCTTCTCAGGAGTCTCCATGCAGCCCGTTTTGCAGGTAAGTGCAGGGCCTGTGCGGCAGCTCTAGGAGGGCGAAAAACGGGCCTCCCGGAACTTCCTCTGGAGCCTGGGAAGGGTGAAAAGCCCCCCCCCCACCGTGGTGCAGGAGGCTACGCTCCCATGGCCACGTCCATCCAGCAACTGGGCAGAGAATCGTTTGCTAAAATTTTTCAATCCCACCCCTGGACCCAAGACTCTTGGCATGACTAGCTCATATCTGGTAGTTAGAAGGATGAAATAGATCTTCTGTATCAGTTGTAGTCAAAATGGATCAGTCTTCTATTGATGGTCTTGAGTACAGCTGGCACATGGATCAGTCTTCCAGATGCTGACTACAGTTGGCAGGTGGACCACTCTTTTCAATGCTCGTCTACATCTGTTATCACCTTTGTTGATTACACTGATTGGGATTGTTGGCCAAGATGATTGGTGGGGGTTGTACTTCCTGAGGGCTGGTTATGTGTATGACTTCAAAGGTAGGACTGTGATGTTAACCAATTCAGACAGGAACACTGGCAAGATAGTCATCTTACCTTCCTCTCTTCTGATCCTTCGATGGTCCTCAGAGTTAGGGACTCCTTAGGTGGTCCTGACAGATTTAGCACCTGGATCTCACTTGTTGGCTAACTCATGGTCATGACCAAGTCATGAAGAAGGGAGAAGGCCATCTCCTTGCCTGTAGACCGAGAGAGAGAGAGAGATGAGATGATTTAGTTAAGCTGGACAAATAAATCATCTCGACCCAAAGCATCTCAACTAGGAAGAGCCTGATGAGCATAGACAGAGATGCAACGAACACCTCTCTCTACTAGGATGAAGCCATGATTGATATCACAGTCAGGCTTTTAACTGTCCTACCTCAAACAGTGTAGTGTAGTGGTTAAAGAATGGATGACACCATCTAACCATCTCCTCCTCTGATGTCCCTTTCTCCTCTTGCCTTCCAACTTTCCCAACATTGGGGTCTTCTCCAAGAAATCCTCATTTGGTGGCCAAAGTATTTGAGCTTAAGCTTCTAAAGAGCAGTCAGGGTTGATTTCCTTCAGGATCGACTGACTGACTTGATCTTGCAGTCCGGAGTCTTTTCCAATACCACAATTTGAAAGCAACAATAAAAACCTATTTCCCCCCCCCAACCAAACATTTCCTCTTTGACCCTTGAACGACTTATAAACAATGGCTGGTTTGCCCTCCATTGGTATGCTTTTATTCTTATTTTAATTCCATGTTTTGATGAATTGAGGGCGCACGCCAAGCAGAGGTGGTATTCAGCCGGTTCGTACCGGTTTGTGCGAACCGGTAGCAGAGATCGCAGGTGGGCCTGCCCCCCACCCCCACCCCGGCGCTATGCCGTCCTATTTAGGCATGTTTTTGAGGCTGGGCACATGCGTGAAAGGCTGGGAACATGCATGGAAGTTGCGCACGAGCAGGGCGAACCGGTGGTAACGAAATGTGAAACCCACCGCTGATGCCAAGCCATCGGGAGTTGGCCAAGGTCAAGAGCACAAATAACTTCAACTACCGTGTTTCCCCAAAAATAAGACTGTCTTATTTTTTTTGAACCCTGAAATAAGCCTTCTTTTTGAGCCTTATTGCCATGCGCTCAAAAGCCCGATTGGGCTTATTATCAGGGGATGTCTTATTTTTGGGGGAAACAGAGTAGATAGATGGATGGATGGATGGATGGTTAAAAGATGGATGGCTAGATAGATATAAATAGATCTAGATGGATGGATAGATAGATGATAGATAGAGATAGATAGATGTAGAGATAGATAGATAGATAGATAGATAGATAGATAGATAGATAGATAGATAGATAGATAGATAGATAGATAGATACATACATACATACATACATACATACATACATACATACATACAGTGTTTCCCTGAAAATAAGACCCTGTCTTATATTTCTTTGAACCCTGAAATAAGCGCTTGGCCTTATTGCCATGCGCTCAAAAGCCCGATTGGGCTTATTAGCAGGGGATGTCTTATTTTGGGGGAAACAGGGTATAAACAAATAAGATCTAACTCTTTACTATAAGCTTCTCAGGCCACAAAAGTCTCAGCCCAGCTTCATCCACCTTTCCTTAAGGAGATCGGATGCTTTTTTTGAACTTCTTGGTTGGCCCTGCAGGAGGAATAAGGCGGAATGAACTAGAAACGATCTGCACCAAGCAAGTTCATCCCCCTTCAAAACATGTGACCAAGTCTGTTTATTCAGATAGCCGCTTTATTGTAGAGTTTTAGTCACGGAGGAAATGTCTAACAGTAATTAGACACATGATAGAAAGATGCTCTACTGCATCTTCAAAGCTCTTTCTTCAACAGATCTCTCTTGTTTGCAAGACAGCGAGCCAACAAGCCAAGCTGAAGGTTGTCCTTGTTGTCCTTCTGGTTTCTTTTTCTTTCTTTTTTTTTCCGTTCCAAAATAACTCGTTTGAACCGCAAAGAAAAATAGCATAAAATATCATAAATAAATAAATAAAAATAAAAGCCCAACCTTAGATAACTCCACACCCCAAAATTTGAGCAAAGCACAGAAAAATCTTAAAGAAGGGCATCCTTTAAGGGTTCGCGGAGAATGACGTACTCCAGAGGGAGCTGAACGTGGAGCAAGAAATGGAAAAAAATAAAAGGTTATTTGGGGTTAAAATTCGGAAAGGTCTGCTTTCGGCGCCAATGGGACCCCTCTCCCCGCAAGAGAAGCAAACATTTGGTGTTAGGGTTCCAAGCAGGGGTGAAATGCTCCCGGTTCGGACTGGATCGCCCGATCCGGTAGCAATGGAAGCAGGTGGTTCGGAGAACTGGTAGCAAAAAATACCTGCCCCCCCCGCCCATGCCCAGCTGAGCCACACAATCATCAGAGGCTTTTTTTTTCCTTTTAAAAGCATTTTTTCTACAACTTATTTGGTCGAAAAAATGCTTTTAAAAGTAAAAAAAAAAGCCTCTGATGATCGCGCAGCTCAGCTGGGATCGTCAAAGGCTTTTAAAAGAAAAAAAACCCTTTTTTTTCTTTTAAAAGCCTCTGACGATCAAGCAACTCAGCTGGGATCGTCAGAGCCTTTTGAAAGCATTTTTTTTACAACCTCTTCGCCAAAGAGGTTGTAGAAAAAATGGTTTTAAAAGTAAAAAAAAAAAAAAAGGCCATGCCCACCCAGTCACATTACCTCCCCCACCAAGCCATGCCTACAGAACCAGTAGTAACAAATTTTAGATTTCACCACTGGTTCCAAGTAACTGATCCAACGAAATCAAAACTCTGAGGCCTGGAGTTTCCTCAAAGTAAGAATTTATTAGGAATGCCATATTGGCACAGCTGGTGAAAACCCGACCCAAGGTTTTCCCCACCTAAATCCAAATCCAAATCCAAATCCAAATCCAAATCCAAATCCAAATCCAAATCCAAATCCAAATCCAAATCCAAATCCAAATCCAAATCCTGTCTGTCTGTCTGTCTGTCTGTCTGTCTGTCTGTCTGTCTGTCTATCTATCTATCTATCTATCTATCTATCTATCTATCTATCTATCTATCTATCTATCTATCATCTACCTATCCATCCATCCATCCACCCACCCATCCACTTATCTACCCATCTATCCATCATCATCTCTCTCTCTCTGTATGTGTGTGTGTATCTTCCATCCATGCATCTAGCTATGCACATTTTCTCTTAGTACAAGCATTCTTAAGGTAGCAAAATTACCGTATTTTTCTGCATTCTGATTACATATCCAGAAGGATGCTGCAGAAGTTATAAGTGTGAAAATCAGTCATGTCACTTTTTTCAATGCTGTGGTAACGTCCAACACTAAACGAGCTGTTGTAAATTGAGGATTATCTGTATCTATATCTTTATCTACTATATATTTATATCTATCTATAAATCATCTCTATCACCTCTACCATATCTATCTATCTATCTATCTATCTGTCTGTCTGTCTGTCTGTCTGTCTGTCTGTCTATCTATCTATCTATCTATCTATCTATCTATCTATCTATCTATCTATCTATCATCTACCCACCCCCCCATCCATCCATCTATCCATCCATCTAGCCATCTATCATCTCTCTATGTGTGTATCTTCCTTCCATCCATCCATCCACCCATCCGTCTGTCCATCCGTCCACCCACCCACCTATATATCTATCATCTCTCTCTCTCTGTATGTATCTTTGTATGTATCTTCCTTCCATCCATCCATCTATCCATCCATCCATCCATCCATCCATCCATCCATCCATCCATCCATCTACCTATCTATCCACCCATCTATCTGTCTGTCACCTGTGTGTATGTGTCATCCATCCATCTAGCTATGTACAAGCATTCCTAAGGTAGCAAAATTACTCTCAGGTGCCATTCTAAACTCAAAATGTTAAGCAGGTTCTCCCCTCTTTTTTATTATTTTATTTATTTATTTTATTAGTCATATTTCTATGCCGCCCACTCTCCGAGGACTCTGGGCGGCCTACACCAAAGACAGTATATAAAATAGCATATTGCCCCCTAACAATCTGGGTCCTCATTTTACCCACCTCGGAAGGATGGAAGGCTGAGTCAACCTTGAGCCGGTGAGATTTGATCCGCTGATCTGCTGAACTAGCAGTCAGCTGAAGTAGCTGCAGTACTGCGCTCTAACCACTGCGCCACCTCAGCTCTAACCCTTTTCTAACCCTTGCAGGGCAGGGGAGGGTTCTACTTACCTTTACTACCGATTCGCAATGGATTTGAAGCAGTGGTGAAATGCAAAATTTTTTGCTACCGGTTCTGTGGGAGTGGCTTGATGGGTGTGGCTTGGTGGGGGGTTAATGTGACTGGGTGGGGGTGTCCAACTTTTTTTTTTTTACTTTTTAAAGCATTTTTTTTTACTACCGGTTCGCCCGAACCGTTAGTTTTTATTCATACCGGTTTGCCCGAACAGGAGCAAACTGGTACCATTTCACTCCTGGTTTGAAGCCGTGAATTAAAAAAAATATTCCTTTTTATCAGAACCTTTTTATCTGTTCTTTAGGCTGCGTTTTCCTAGAGCCATGATGGTGAACCTATGGCACGCGTGCCATAGGTGGCACATGGAGCCGTATCTGTGGGCATGCGAGCATTGCCCTAGGTCAGCTCCAGATGCATGCGCATGCCAGCCAGCTGATTTTCAGCTGCCCCTCCCCTCCCAGGTGTCTCCACACAGCCCGTTTTGGATGTCAGGTAAGTACAGGGCTCACACGGAGGTTCTGGGAGGACGTTTTTTTGGCCTCCAGAGGGCCTCCTGAGGGGTGGGGAGGCTGTTTTTGCCCTCCCCAGGCTCCAAGAAAGCCTCTGGAGCCTGAGGAGGACGAACAACGGGCCTGCAGGGCCCACCGGAAGTCGTGAAATAGACCATTTCCGGCCTCCAGAGGCTTCAGTGAGGCCTGCTAGGCCCAAAACAGAGTGGGGGGGAGGGTTGCGTGCACGTGCGCATGCACGGGGGGGGGGCAGGGCACGGAGGGCATTAAATTATGATTGAAGCCATGAGATATATATATATATATTAATTTGATTTATATGCCGCCCTTCTCCAGAGACTCAGGGCGGCTTACAATGCGTTAAGCAATAGCCTTCATACTTTTGTATATTTTATACAAAGTCAGCTTATTGCCCCCACAATCTGGGTCCTCATTTTACCAACCTTAG